GAGTTACAGCGCGATGATAAAGTTATCGTCCCTGACACAGCACCAACAGCCCAGCCCCCGGCCGCAGTGTTCCACCGGCTGCCCTGAGCCGGCCCCGGTTGCCGCCACCCCCGGAGCGGACACAGCCGCAGAGCCGCGCTGCCCCCGCCGCCTTTGTTCGCGGGGCTCCGCGGGGCGAGGCGCCAACCCGGCAGGTACGCACTGCCAGCAGCTCTTCGGAGCCGGGCAGCCGAGCAGCCGAGCCCAGCCGCCCCTAAGGCCCTCTGCGGAGACGGGGCCGGGCCGCTCCTCTCCCCATCGGCTCTCCCCACCCCTCCGGTACCTCTCCCTCTTTGGGCCCCAGCTTGGGGTTGTAGATGAAGAAACTGAGCAGGGTCGGAGCGAGCTGCTTCTCCTGGCCGGCGCCCGCCGCCGCCGTCGCCATCCCGAACCGGAAGCGAGCCCGCCTGTGGCCGGCCGCCGCCACAAAACATCGGGGAGCAGCCCGGGGCCCTCCGCCGGCACCGGCCCGGAGCACTTCCGCCTTCCTCCTTCCTCCCCGGAAGCGCACGGCGCCATCCCGGAAGTGCTCCCGGGCCAGGCGTGGGCCGCGCTCCACAGCGCCCCCAGCGGCGGGGCGGGGCGCCGCCGCCTCGTGCTTTTCTGTGAACTTCCAGACCCAACCGGAGCAAATTTCGGTTGAATTTAGTAGAGCTACGGAAGAGGTGCGGCACCGCTCCGCACAGCCGTGCAGCTGGGGAACCTGGGGACATCGGCTCCGTGTTGCTGAAATAAATTCCCGTATGGGGCGAAAGACGTAACGGAAGCTCGTGCCACGTGGTCCGTCGGGAAGGAGTGGCGGGCGGCTCTGTTACAGCCGCCGGGTCGAGTCTGAAACAAAAGGATGTTTTGCCGTGCTTTCCAACGTTGTCACCGCTTGTCGCCGTGCCGCCCTCACGCGTCCCTTAACGCCGTCCCACGGGGGGGCGGCACGGGGCGCTTCGGCCGGGCTGCGGGCGGGGAGCTGCCGGCCTGAGGCGGCCTCGCGCGGGCTGCAGCACGAGCCCGGTACGCGCGTGCCGCCCGAAGGCGCGGCTCGCAGCGCTCGCGGCGTTTGAGCCGAACGGTGTTTGAGCCCGCGGTGTGACGCGGGCGTAACGGCCGCGGGCTCGGGGCTGCGCTGCGCTGCGCTGCGCTGCGCTGCGGTTGCCTGTGGGCGCGCTCAGCACTTGGCGGAGCGGAGCTGCTGCCCGCGCACGGAGGGGCCGGGCGCTGGCATACGCGAAATGCCCGACGGACGGGCTGCGCGCGGGCGGTGCCGCGCTTACCGTGAGCTCTGCCGGCACTCCGGCGTTCGGAGCCGAGCGGCCCTCCGGAAGGAACGGAGGCACTGCAGGGACTGCTGAAGTGCGGCGCTGCCCAGTGCAACCCCGCCTCGACGTGGTACCGTGCTTGGTGTGGTATTTGTGGTAATCCACGAAGAGTAAGTGGTAATAGATTCGATTAATTTAAATTATTACATCTCTAATGTACGAATTAACAGGGCAGGAGGAAGCTTCAATTGAGGTTCCAATTTCATCCCATCTTCTTAATTGTACGTGCAGTAACACCACACCTTCACATCTGCAAAGTGGCATCGAATCACCCTGAGTTTGAAATGTGATTCCTAGCCCGTGATGATTAAAATTAAACTGCTGCATAAGTACGTGGAAGCTTGACAGAGGACAGCCCTGGCATCAAGAGACAAATAATTAAGAACTTTATTGGTGCTTTCCAAGTATTACTAAAAAAGAAAATGGGAACATGTAGCCATTCTCTGATGTGCCTGTTTGTAGGAACTGTTCTGAGCGTTCCCATCAGCTGCGTAGTAGAGACTTAACAAAAAGACACACCATAAATCACAGTGGGCGTTGGAGCTGACAGCTGTGAATAAGTACAGCTGACAGCTCAAATAGCTGCTCCATTGGCAGCATGTGGTCTAAATGTGTTAACAAATGCGTAGACTCAGCAGTTTGGGATTAGTTTAGCAAATAAATTACAAAATAGTGCTGTGATCCAGCAAAAAGCACAATGCCTGTGTATCCCTGTTCTGTGCCCCCTGTTAATACGTGCCAGGCCCTGCAGCTCTGCGTGGGGATCCTGCCTCTTCCCGAGGGCGTCGTTCATCTCCCCCAGATTTGTTCTTAGTGCGATGTCAAGGAACGCGAGCAGCTGTTGGAGCATCACAGTGAGTGGAGATGGTTTAATAATGGCTGTGTGTGTTTTGCAGACCCAGAGATTTTATAGTGGAAGACAGTAAGTTTGTACTAGCTCTGGCTGTGGTTAAGAATACAGTCACTGAATAGCAATACAAAATACTTTCATGCAGAACTCGAGATTGTGAATGTTTTGCTTTATTTCACGTGTTTAACAGGAATGCCTCGCACTTGCTAGTAGCCCAGACCTGTGGTGTGCATGAAAGAAAAGCTGGGAAGACAGGATGAGGAAAAGGCTAGACAGGTAATATAGGATGTCAGCTCTGAAGATGAATTACAGCAGCACATCAGTTATTTCCCTCTTTTCTCTTGATTGATCCTAAGTTTTGTAGGTCAGAAGTCTTACAGGAACTTTTCGTGCAGGGAACTGCCGAATGTTCTGTGTTCTGGAAATGAAGAGGGTTCTGATTTCACTGATTGATTTGTTTTGGATCAGGGCACTGCGTGAATCTTCTGTCCACCTTCTGTTCAGCAGCCTGCCCCAGCAAGGTGTTGCATCTCAGAGGAGAACAACAGAGCTGCACTTTGCCCATGCATTTCTTTGTCTAGGACTGCAGTGCAAGGGCTGAGATGTTGTTCAGAGAGAGAGTACAGAACAACAGCGACTGGAAAAAAATTACTTGGCATGCATTTTCCTGCTTAATGTAATCTGGTTAGTCAAGGTCAGGACATTTAATTGTCACTGAAACGGAGAGTGGGTTGTTTGTTGCTTACATGTGAACCAGTCCAAGACTCTTCTGTCATCAGACTGATTTCATTGCCAAGAACAAACTTCATTTCTTGTGAATATCCTGTGACATCCATCTTGTGCTAGGAGAACCTCCGTGGCTCAGATCCTCACCTTGTGCAAATCTGGTTTTTTAAGGCCTTGATACTCTAGTGAGTCAAGCTGAGTGAGCAAGTTTCTTGAGAAATATATTTCTTAATCTTAAGAAATATTGTTCAAATTCAGTGTTAATGTTTATCAGTTTACATCAGTATTACTTTTGCACAATAATAGGAAAATGTCATGACAATATTAAATTTGGATACTTGGATATCCCAGTATACAAAGAACTAAATTAAACTGAATTAAAATGTTCTGAAATGAGACAAAAATTCTATTTGTAACCATCAGGTGTTTAGAATGGTAGAGCACCATGTACGTGTGTAGAGCAGCAGGCGATTCTTGGCCAGTTCTGCAGTAGTTGGCTCCTAACATGGGCATTAGGGTGAGTCAGTATAGAATCTATTTGTGGTACTGTCTGGTGTCTTCATGTTAAGAAAAGGAGAAATTTGGTGTGCTTTAGTGCTTTTGCTTCAGTAATGAACACAGTTGAATCCAAGATGAAATTCTGAACTACTGTTATGTTATGCATGTAAGATACAAGGTGGGAGGGGGAAGAGGGCCTGGTATGTTTGCTGAAGATCCAATAACCAAGTTAGTAGTTTTTTTTTCCTGCACTACCACTAATATTTATAGAGACTTCTGAGATGAAAACAATGCAGTTTATTCTGCGTGTTGTCATTTGCAGGAAAGGGAGGAATGCATCAAAACTGCAGCAATGCAGAAGCATTCCAGCTTAATCCAGAGAGCTCGTTGTTGACAGAACGCCCACTGGCGTCAACCACAGCCATATATGAGGCTCTGATAAGATCAAGGTCTTTCAGAGATTATCACTTTTCATTTAAGAATTGACACATTTAAGTTTAGTGGTCAGAAAAACAGACACGAGCACAGTATGTGATTAATTTTTATTGGGTATTTTTAAGGGAAATTTCTGGGAAAGCAGAGTTTAGAACAGAGTTAATGGTCCACACAATGAAAAAAAAAAATAGTGTTTCATTATGTTTCTAATGCAGTGAGTAAATAAAGCCACTATCAAGATAAATGCAGAAGGGACTGCTGATTTTCAGGGTTTGCAGTTTCTCTTGCAGATTCATCCTAATTCTGTCTTATTCGGTCATTGTGAACCTTTAAGACTGCACCATTTCCTGAAATTCTGTGGGGAAAAGAAAAAGAATATTTACAATAGAAATATTAAAATAAAATAATTGGGAATAATATATTAATGGCTTATCAAGAGATTAAGAATAGAAAGGAATGGAAAACAATGTCTTGGTTTGTGATCAGAAGGAAAGAAACATACACAAAAGAAGCATTTCCTAAATTTCCTGTTTAGGCAGACAAATGTAGTTAAACAACTGATGAAAAGACAGTGGTTTGTTGACAGTGATGGGGAGTAATGAAGTATTCGGGGTGGTTTTGGTCCTCTGCTCAACAATGATTTGGAGCAAAAATAAAGCAATGGCTAATGTGGAATTTGAGTCAGAAGTGAAGACCTTAATCAGAAGTTCTAAAAGTCAGTCCCCGTGTCTTATTACTGTTTGTGGTGCTTCAGCAGCTGAGAAGTGCTGATTGGGATGGCAGGCTAGAGCCAAAGTCTCTGTGGGGTTCCCAGCGAGTGTTGTGTTTCTCAGTCAGGGGCTGTTATTTGGAAGGCCTTTTCATTGGCTTCTGCGCATTGAGTATCTGATCAATCCTGTCTCAGAAAGGCTCTATTAAGATACAGATTGCTTCGTAAATCATGTGTGTTTATTCTGGCACGTTTCCTTAGGAGCTGTGCTCGACTCCTTGCCAAGAAGGAAGCAGCAGTTCCCAGCCCCTGGTGCAGGCAGTGGTTCTCTCAGCTCTGTGGGGCTTCCCAATGGGGCTGCTGCCCTGGGCTCCAGCCTGTTTGGTGAGCACTGCTTCCTGCTCAGCATGAGACACAGAAGTGTGGAATTAGGAGGTGGGGAGGTTTCTGTGCCGAGCAGCCATTCATCTGCACCAGCATTTCTTGGAGTGGGTGCAGTGAGCTGCTTCCTAAAGGAAGCATCCTCATCTGATGGGTGATTTCCATCAGCATGCACAGAGCCTCTGGGGCGGTGACACTCAGTTATTCTGTTCTCCTTACACACAACTGAAGGTGAATGCTATGCAGGGAGCTCCTGTGCGCTGCGGGCAGCACTTCTGTGGGGGACACTGCTGGAGGTGAGCAGATGGCAGTGCTGGTGGTGCCCTGGTGCGTGCTGCTACGGGTGGTGCTCCTGCTGCCTTACATCAGAGCAGGTGGGAGAGAAACAGAGATCTGTTCCTTTTAAGCAGCTGGAAATTTACAGTGAGTGGCAATGAGAAGGTTCCTTAGGGCAGCCAGGTGTTGCTTTTGTTGTTTTTTTTTTTTTTTACTTGCTCATGCATAAGGAGTTGCAGAGATGAACCTGTGCCATCTGACACAGGTCAGTATTGGAGGGCGTTAAGCAAAATCACTCAAGGAATCTTAATGAACCACCAACATAAAAGGGAATTGCAAATCACTTAGAACCTTCTCCTGTTTATATAGAATTTAATACCTTCAGCCCCAATCTTGCCGTCCCCGTCGTGGTCTGCAGCTGCCAGGAAAGTCTTGGTTTCAGAGGCAGTTAGCACTCTTGCTCCACACTCAAACCTCTGAAGGAAATACCTGGGAGGAAAGCACCCTTTGTTATGGTTGTCACATAATCCTGTTTTTGCTGGCTGTATGATTAAAAGCTAAAAGGTATAAAGGTAACTATCTGTAAACAAATATTTGCCATGGTAGCCACGTCCTCCAAACACTACTTTGTTTGATGAGCTACATCTTCCTCGTGTACAGTTCTGCTCTGTAAGTCCAGACCTGCTGCACTGCATTCTGCTGCTACCAGAGCCCAGCCCCAGGAGGTCAAGTAGAAGGGTGGGCATCTCCTGCTTTGCTCTTTGGGTATGGGGTTGTCTACTCAGATACACCGCTAACGATCTACTGAGGGTTTTACCAATGTTTAGCATAACCTGAGGAATCCCCTTACGGAAAAGTTTTAGAAAGAAAGAAGTGCTGATTTTTGGATAGTCTCTTACTAGTCAAGGTAACAGAAAATCCTTACTTGAGCTCATCTTCCTCAATAAAGCCACTTTGATCATTGTCGAGAATCCGGAAGATCTCCTTGAGCTGGCTACTACTCTTTTTAGACATCCCACTGATCTGAAAGAATTTTTTGGGACTAAAGGAATCTGGAGCTGAAAATAAATTAATAAATATATTAACCCCAGACCTCTGTGTTCGCTGTCCCTAGATGGTCTGAGGATGCTGCTTCATTACAGTTTAATTGTTCCAAACATGAACAGTATGTAAAGGCTGACAGGAAATGTTACCATCCTGCGCAGCACCCTGCCACGCACCGAGGGAAGCCATGTGGGGATGGGATACAAACTCAAACCACCCCCAACGTAAAGATCTCCTGAACAGATACATACTGTGGCAGCTACAGGAGAGACTACAGAAGTCTGATTACGTGTGTGCTTGTTCAGTATTCCTTTGGGGCTGCATTAGACTTGCAGTGTGTTGCAGGAAATAGTACATTTTTAGCAAGTTAATTGTTTTCTCACCTTGGCAGTCCCGCAGAGCAGCAGCAATATCAGAAGGGCTTAGAATGTCTGTGAGGCTCATTTTAAACCTGTTAAAAAGTGTATTGCAATCACATTTATGAAATGGAAATGCACATTAGAACCAATTTTTCCTGTGGTTTAAACACTTTGTGACTAACAAGACTTCCAAGGGCAGACGAGTCCAATCGATCAGTCTGAAATTGCTGCTGTTACTCAGTAAATTAGAAGATTTAGTACAGTGCTTCTTTAAAAATAGCAATGCTGGAATAATGCTTTTTAATGAGATGGATTACAGAAATAGTGTTGTGAATTGACTATCAATCTTTTAACCTATTTTGTATCTACGACTTGCATGCTGTTTAAGTACATCCTGTTCTTTAACTCAGTATTACCATCAGTCTAACAAGCAGTCTTACTGGAATGCAAGGCATTGGATGATACCAATAACAGCATAGGCAGTGGGAAAAATAAGCCAAGAAGGTTTCTTTGTTTTCTCCCCCAACAGCTCTGAAGTATAAAAAGAAATCAGATACTTATCTATGTGAGGTCCGTCCGCACAGAATGCCAGGAGTTCAGCTCAAAATCTTACAACGATGGTTATTGTACTTACTACCAGTGCAGCTCTGCACATCAATTTCATTTCATTCATCTCAAGTCACCTGCTCACCTTTATGGTTTTCTCAGCTAGGCCAAGGAAAAATAGCTGAGGAGATACCAGGCAAAGTAGTCTTGTTGGCTCTGGCTGTCACTCTGACTTATAAAGGATTCAAAAGGTGACAATAACCACTACTTGGGTTACTGCTTCATGGATCAAATGTTTGATTTGAGACCTAGCTCAAATTTCTTCCTTAACTAATTAAACTTCTCTTCCTATTTATATCCTAAGATAACGCCGACAAGAACAGTGTTTTTAATAAATCCACTTGTGCTTAATTAAGTACAACTCTGCCATCAAAACATAGCCTTTCGGGCCCCAGGTGTACTAAAGGTTTTCAGTTAACCCCTGGACCTTGGGGCTGCTCACTGCAAGAAGACTCCAGCAGTCAAACCTTTGTGGAAAGAAACTGGTTTGGTTTCCTTAAGCCTGTTCATCCTTTGGAGGGTATAGAGGAAGGTGGGGATGAAAGATCCGAGGTGAGAATGTGCCATGCTGACAATGATAACTTGTCAGCAGGGAGGAGGAAACCAGTGTAATTTAGGGGGATCTGTCTCCTGTGAGCTTCATTTCCTGACCGTGTTCTGCACTGCTGTACCCAGGCTGGGACAGAACAGAAGCTCATGCTTCCATGGGCAGCAGAACTCAGCAACTCGGCCATCTTCTTGTCTGTGTTCCTTGGAAGGCGACGTATAACCAGATGGCCTACTTAATGATTTATTTTGATTATTTTAAATTACACAGAATCAGTAACAGACTTACAAGGAATTGCAGGAATCGGACTTTGCTCTACTGGAGATAGATGTGTGTGCAGTTTGCAACATGCACTCACTGTATTTCCCTGCTGAGAAATTGAAGTTGCAGGTGTGTAGTAGTGGATTTTTTTTGTTTATGTCTATTTCAAAGTCCCTAATTTTAGAGGAAAAAAATTAAAGCTGGGAACAGTGGGTATGAGGTTTTCCTTCTCAGACTGTAGTAATTCTCATCCTGGCACGAACATTTTAGCATTTCATTGTGAATTTTCACCTTTGTGATCATCACGAGTCGATACAGGATTTCTTAGAAGATTTTCGTGGCCATTTCCTTTGGCATATTTTACTGCCAAGATGTTTCTCCAGGGCAGTCTACATAAGATCTCTATTGGCACCCTTGATGTTAGTGAGAGCACATCGCTGCTCCTGATCCCAGTAGCAGCAGCCTTCCTTTATTTTTTCTTGCTTTGTGTAAACGTTTGACTTGCCATAATACACTGATTATTACAAGCTAATGAGAATAAAAAAAATGATACAGAGGAAAATAATGAAATCGAGGTGAGCTCAGATTCAAAAACATCTGCAGCTTATTCAGGCACTGTGTTAAAATCTGAGTGCCAGGTGCTCTAAGAACAGCACCTTGTTAGCTCACCTGCTCTGTATGGCATGTGGGGCTCTGTACTGAGAATTATTTGTGAAATTGCATTCACAGTATTAACTGCAACGCATATTGTATTGAAGTATGATGTTGAATAGAAGTGAGCAAATCGCTACCATATGCTCACTGTTATTGCTTGTGAAGGGATCGTTTAACGTTTGAAATTCAATGCTGACAACAGGACATGTTTATCTTGTCTGAAAGATGATTTACAGAAGCCTAAAACAGCTGAATTTCAGAATCAAGTTGATGTCACTGTATATCGATACGGGTGGGACTCTAGGGTTACCTGCATTTATTTATTTATTAATGACACCGCATCTGAAGTACAGGTTTCCCTCTGCTACGATTAGAATGAAATCATCAGGAATGAGTACAGCGTGCAAAGGGATATTTCAACTAAATACCCCACTGCCCAGCTCCACCGCCCGCCCCGCTCCCCTGCTGCAGGGCAATGTGTTACGCTGGGTGATTGCAGCCCCTGTGAGGGTTCAAAAACAGGCCTGTAGAAGAAAATTTGTGAAAGATAATACGCAGGCAATGTAATGCTGTGGAAAAAATGCTTCTTATTCTACAAGAGGAGCTGCTAGGTAGCAAGCAGTTAACAACCATGCAAAATCTGATACAAAATCCGAGTACTGTTTCCAGGAATGTTTAACATTTGTTCCTACAAAGAAAAATTATTAATTTGCTGCTCTTTTGTTTGCTTTTGCTCTGCTAATGACTTCTGAAGGTACTATTGAGTTGTTCTTCCTAAGATTTATGTACTTGCACCACTTCACTTCTCTTTTTTTCCCTCTCCGGCGTCATAGTTTGTGGTACTACAGGACTTTAAAGCCCTTCTGTTTGTTTCCTTCTTTCAGAGCCGAACTCCTGGCGATGCAGGTGTTGAACACAGAGTCTTCATATCAATAAGCTCTTGCTAGGAATCTTCTCCTTTCCGCTTTGAAATAAATTTGTTTTCATGAGTTAAAAACAATGTATATATTTTTCTCTTTCCAAGTCAAGTCCAGTTAACTAATAAGCAGTGGAACTTTGTGTTTTAGTAAATCGTTGGCAGGCTGGGGGCTAGCCTTGTGCTCTTTCTGTTCTGTTTGTGTGAAGTACAGAGTGTTAATTGGCAGTGGCAACCAACCAAAGACATGACTTACAGCACATGCAAAGGAAACATCAGCAGTTGTCTCAGGTGAGATCAGAGGAGAGGTGTCAACCTGAGAGCAACTACAGAAGTGTAAAGAGATGCTGTAGCAGCTGTTCTAAAACCCGTGCAGTTCCATCTCTCAGCCCTGGTAGTGTTAGGGCTAGAACAATTGTGCTGTGAGCCTGCATAACAGATTCTGCCTTTGTAATGAGCTTGGAAGTAACTAGAACAGCCTGTGTGGTAGATCATTAATGCCATTGTCTCAGTGATGGCAGAGGATCTTAGTGTGAATATTGCAGGAATCACTGAAGTCTGCATCCCCATTTGAGATGCTGTATCTTGTTACTCCAGGTATACACTTATATAGAAGAAAGTACAGAATCCAATCTGAATGCTTGCTTGTGCCGTAGTCATCACCATATTTCATGTAAAGGTCTAAGATAATGGTGTAGTATTTTTTTATCTGTTTTATTGCACAATATTACAACAAGGGTTGAAATCCAGGCCGCAGAAGCCTCAGTGACAAAGCTTTCCTTCCCGAGGCGCAGGATGCGTCCAGCAGCACTGCAGGGCTGAGCTGAGCAAAGACAGGCGTTCTCGTGGGTTAGGAGCAGCATCTCGTGTTCAAGTCCCATCCTCACCTCTGTGTAAATGAGATTGGTTCATATTTGAACACAAGAGCGGAACGGATTAACATAACTGAGTAATAACACATCTCGTTCATAGAGACTTTTCTTATCAGTACTGTCCCCATAGAAAGCAGCCCTGGAAGATCTGTGGCACTGCTGTGTGTGCTATGTGTTTGTCTTCAGGTAGGCTTGCCAGTGCATCTGTGACTCAGTATCACGGTTTTTCACTCTGACCCTAAGCACAGTTGCCCAAGCTGTTTCTGACTTCTGTCAGCACAGAGGGTAATTGCAGATGGACTGATCTTAGAAAGTGTAAATTGTTCAAATTTTCTATGTATTTTCAGAATAACTGAGCCCGAAGGTTAATGGCTGTGAAAGAACCTGTGTGCTGCCTTTTGTTGTGTAACAGATATGCACAGAGGTACTGTTCTGTTACCTGAGGCCTTACGTGTGGCTGTATTTCACTGTGACCTGCAGAATACGAAGCCACAGTAATAACATAATGTAGATGGAGTAAATGGTATTGAAGGATTTCCAGTGATTTCTGCTTACCACCTTCCTCAGTGATGTCAGTGGGATTTCTGCCATTAATTTATAGCAGTAGAAGGGTGCACAACCTTTAATAATGTATAAAGTAAAAAATACCCTATAAATTAGTTAATCGTATCGTAAATAATCATCAAATGTCACTTGTTTAACAGACATGGCTTCTGAAGAACGGAGAAGCAAGTGTCTGGATTCTGCAGAGCATTTAAAATGTGTGCATAAAGCATGCAAAGAAATCAGATAGACAGAGGTCAGTCGTGTGTTTAAGGACTGGTGGAGAGAGCTGGGTGAAACGTTTGCTAAGCGTGGGACAGTCTCAGTGCAAACAACTTATGAGTCTGGGAGCACTGTTCATGTGAAGGGACCTGCCTGGGGTGTGTGCAGGTGGTCGTGCAGTGCTCCTTCTAGTCGTGGCCTTAAGGCACAGCCCAAAGAGCTTTCCGACAGCAGAAGATAGAAGAAGACTTCTGACAGCGCCGGAGAGCTGGTGTGAGTGAAAGAAAGAGAGCGAGTGTGTTCTGGTGGACAGAAACTGTGTTTTCTCCACTGATCTGCTTAGTGGTAATGCTGAAAGGAGGAACGGTCTAAAACCCTAATGAGCCAGAGTGATCACTGAAGCTGATATCGGACCTAGCCTGTCATTAATTTTTCAATGTCCTTAATGGAATGGTAAGCGGTGAAAT